AACATAGAAGATGTCTTCATGCTTCGTGTCAACACCCTCCACACACAACAAGTGTGCGATGCACCGCAAGCACTTGCGGACTCGGTTGACCGCCTGCACCACACAGTCCAGGTCGTCGATGGTCGCCAGCTCCAGGAGCACAGTCTTGTTCGGCTCAGAATCGAGGACCTCGAGAACCTTCCCGCACACCTGCCCCACGATCTCCTCGCCGTCCTTTTCCGCCTTCAGAAGGCACACGAAGTCGTCGCTGTTGAAGACGGACAGGAACTCATCTGCGAAAACCTTCGCACTGCTCGCAAGACTTCTGTACACGACTCTACCCATATTACCTTGCATGTGTACATACAAATATATACACCTATACATATATATATATAAATACGGATGTATTATCCACGTCTATATATGCCAGTCTGTGCACATGGAAGTCTGCGCACGTGTACGCCTCTGACTGAAAACGTGACTGCGATGTGCGGGCTTTCTGTGCCGGGGAACAAAGGAGTCAAGAGGAACCGAGCATCTGTAGCACTCCCCCCCCCCGGCTGATAATCTCGGGCGACAAATTCTTGAACTGAACAAGCCCACTAAACAAAAGAGCATATATGTATGTATGTGTGTATGCATGTCTGCCTGCATGTATGCGTTATACTATCCGTGTCTATGTGTACTATATGTGTGCTGCTATACGTGTACGTAGACATGCATGCCAATATGGGATGATTCCGAAACTGGTGCTTGTGATCTTGGCAAGGTAGCGAAAATTGCATGATATTCAGATCCTGAAGACAAGTCCCCGTCCAGCTGGCAGATGAACGCTTCTGCAATAATTCTGCAGCCTCCTATGCCTGTGCAAACTGCGGATTGTAGGCCCCGGACCTGCTGAATATCCGTTTCAGTACCAGGCCCAAGGAAATCAGAAAAAAAACAAGTTTATGTCCGTCTGTCTCTCTTTGTCTCCCTCTCTGTCTCTCTCTCTCTCTCTCTCCTCTCTCTCTCTCTCTCTCTCTCTCTCTCTCTCTCTCTCTCCTCTCTCTCTCTCTCTCTCTCTCTCTCTCTCTCTCTCTCTCTCTCGCTCTCTCTCTCTGTCTCCTCTCTCCCTCTCTCTCTCTCTCCCTCTCTCTCTCTCCCTCTCTCTCTCTCTCTCTGTGTTTGTCCCTGGCTCTGCGCTGCCTCATGACAGCTGTTAAGACTAAGATTCCTGTCAGTGACCGCTCTGACAACACAAGACCTGTATCACGAGCACTCGTGCATGAGCAAGTTCTCACAGGCGAACAACACATCCTGCCTGCGCATGCTCAGCTGCATCTAGCGCGGCCTGGCTCTTCGAACCCTTGCCTGTCTGATCACCTGCCATGCAGCTCTCGAGAGCTGCGTCGATGTCGTCGATGTGACCAAAACATCCTTCCGACACTGACTCCACAAGCTTCTTCAAGCGCCGCAAGGTAGACGCCACTGACATGTCTCGGTTCGAGAAGGTGTCCAGCGCCGGTGCATCCACGGACAACGCCAGACTCAAGCCTCTGGCCAACTTCTCCACAGGCGCTTCAATCATGGACTCCTGTTTGACATTCTGATCACACAGCAGCTTCACCTGACGCATGTCCTCAGAAAGGAACCGGAATGCGATCTTGCTCTGCAGGGTGAGGTGGTACTTCGGCCACACCGAGGATGTCATGTCGATGTGGGCCTCAACCTCTGCAATCTTCATCTGATGCAGCGGAGTGCTCTTGAGCCTCTGTGCATGCTCACACTCAGCGATACGGCCTTCGAGACTCTCAGCGGCGACGACCTGCTCGGCAGTGACGAGATTCTTCAAGATGAGCTTTGCCTCGGCGGAGCCAGACAAAAGGACAAGTTGTCCCTATAGAGAACCCAAGACACGTACAGACACAAAAAAGCAGCAAAGCAAGCTGAAACCATTGCCCCGTGACGCCAGCAACTCCGGCAGCAAGCTTCTTGTTGCCTTGCTCGTTCCACACGATGAGAAAGTTCTCCGGGTAGAGCACTTCCAAGGAATTCACGCTGCTGCCCTTGGGGGTGCTTAGGTGGGCCTTGGCGACGGACTGGAGCTCCGCATCCAGCTTGTCCATGCCGCCAGCGGTGCCCTCCGAGATGCCAGACTTGCCGGAGAGAGCGGATTTGGCATCCGTGCCGTCGCCCCTCTTGCGCTTCGGCTGCTTCTCTGCTGCCTCCACGGCAGCAGCCGAATTAGGCTTCCGCTTCGCCCTTTTCTTCGCTTCCGCCTTATCCTCGAGGCTTCCGCCGAAGCCAGCGTCTTCGACAGTAGCCACTGGTTCCTGCAGCTCGGCATTCTCGATAACAGCAGCTCGCGTTTCAGCCACCGTCTTTGTGTGGAGCTTCTGCTCAGCATGTAGGTGCTTCAGCTCTTGCAAGGTAGGTGGCTTCAGCTGGCTCGTGGGCCTGCACATCTCAGGTCTCTGGTTCATGTGCAGGTTCACTACGTACTTGAAGAGCTCGTTCGCCTGGGACTTGTGCAACTGGGAAGCCTCTGACAAGTACACCTCCTGTTTCCCGGCACCGCTGGAGTGCTCGATACGGCATTTCCTGATCCCCAATGCTAGGTCCAGTGGCAGGCCCACGAGGCTGATCAGGTGCTGCTTGCTGTTCAGCCCAGGCGCCTGCCACTCAAAAGGCACTGGGATCCGCTTGATCTGGGCCGATCCTTTTTCGTTGACGTGGTCTGAGTATTCTGCATCCGTCATCAGGCCATAGTCTTGGAACACCGTGAGCTTGTAGTCGGAGCTGGTGGCCACATGACCTGACGGGTTGCACGTCGGAAGCGTTCCTGCCTCCGACTTCTCATCCCAAATCTTCGCACCAGCATCAAACTCAATCTTAAAATCAGGATCTTCAGCCGCTGCACCTTTCTCATTCAGGTACACCTGGGAGATCTGCACATACCCGTAGTCCGGTCGCAGCCGCTTCCCGACACTGCCGCAGCGAAAGCACAAAGCATGCTTGGGATCTGCCACAAAAGCAAAGCGGCTGTCCTGCTGCACATGCATGGCACAGAAAACACAGTATATGTTTAATATGCGTGCAATCAGACACACAAACAAGACCAAGACGGATACGGGCAGACATATCACACGTACCTACATACATACGTACGTACATACATACATAATTAGTGCACAGCATGCAACGCACACATAGACACACGCACACTAGATGCATGCATGGACACAAACAGAGAATTGTTGACACAGTATGTGCATACTGTACCATTAAGGGCCTGGCGGCAAGGGCCGGCAGCGCCGGATGCAGGTATGCATAGAAACCTCCAGCTCGGAGCCTCCACCCTAAGGCCCCCTTATCCACACAAGCTCCGCACTCAGCAACGGTGGCAGCTGAAGCTGCCGTCTCAGTACAGAATTCGCACTCACTACATAGATGCTCATGTAGTAGTGTAGTTACACACTTGCATACTTGCATACCCACACACGAACAGAAGTGGACACCAGTACGTACCTCGCGCGCGTGCACACAAGCTGCGTGACAATCTCGCATAGCGGCATAGCCAGTGGGACATCAAAGTTCCAGCCATCCTCGCACATGTAAAGTGCCCACACTTCCTGTATCCTCCCTGAGGTCGCTTTGGAGCTGATGGTTCCTAGTGCTTCTCCTATGCCTTGACTTACACTAGTGGTACCACCGTTCCCTGGAGTCAGGCAGGGCCACGCAAACATGCCCATAGGTAGGTAGACCGAAAGATTAAGAGAGCATACACGCAGAGATAGGTCGATTGATACATAGGCAGACACATTCTACGTAGACAAGTTATTGGGTAGATGGAGGGAAAGATAGCTATAGGTCACTAAACAAACAGACAGACCACAGCGTACAATATATGTCACTGCCAGAAACCGTGCTCCTGTGTGACAGTGCCGCAGAGACTGCCAATATCCATAGGGCATCTAGAGACTACAGCGACTACAGACAAACACCAAGGAGACAGATTGAAATCAGCATCCCACGTCCTTGCTGCTTGTCCCGTCAATGGAACACAGCAGCGCTCTCCTGGGCTGCTTCTCTGCCGCGGGCTCTGCTTCCTGCTTCACGGGGACGAGCTGGCACGACGATGCCGGGTCCTGCATATAGGAGGTGGCAGCATGCAGTACAAGGGTGTGCCACAGCAGCTGGAGGCTTGCTGCTTTATAGCTCAACAAAATATACTTCTAGTATTCGGAGCATTCTGCAGGACTATAAGACAGTGCAGGAAGTGCTCCTGTTTGCGCTTGCCACCCATTCCAGGCAAGAGGCACAGTGCGCAAAGCGCACAGGGTTTTTTTTTCAGAGTGCTTGATCAGGCTGCAGATAAAGCGGTTCACAGTTCAGGCATTTCAGCAACATCTGTGTAGAGTACGCGCAAGCTGTTGCGAAGCGGACATAACCTGCAACGGACTTTCATGAACAAGAACTTGCTCGGAGATGTGACAAGCTCCGGTCGCACATCCCCAAGGTTTTTTACTGCAACGAAAAGTCGTCTCGCTTGGAGGAAGCTGCGAACTGAGCGAGTAGAGCTGCTGGTGCGTAACTGGCCTAACTTCTCCGTGCAGCGTCCTACACATGGCTTCTAGTGTAAGCTTTCGACACAACCTGTAGGCTAGCAGCTGCACTCAGACTAATACAGCTTTAGCAACTCTACCAGACTCTAGCACAAGCAACCTGGCACACTGGAAAAGTCTTGTATGTCTACAAGTCTACTTGCTACATGACAACCCAGACGCCAATCCCGCTGAAAATATCACGCGGTACTGCCAGTGTGCCAGCTCCTTTAACTGCTGCGTGCAACAGCTGTCGCACGTGTGGCTACGCCTACACGCAAACAGCACTACTAGCTACTGCAACTAGACTTGTCGAGCTCCAAGATCCAAACACTAGTGACACTACTGTTCGCCACATCCTCTAGGCACGCTGAGAAACTCTGTGCTGATGCCTCTGCAACACCCGAGGGAAATGGCAACAGACATGCAAAATCACTTCTGAAAAGCACCGCAGCCTGCGGCTGCACCGATCAACATGGCTAGGCAGGGCAGGCAAATGCCCTGCCCAGCAAGGTCCCGCAATGAACTCTGGCTCATTGTCGCTGGGACAATGATGTCTGCTTTGTGACCCTGCCAGCACATAAGCTCTAGCGGCAGCACCACACGGTCTCTTTCGAAACAATACAACACTGTACTCGTGGTCAGGCACGGGGAGATCATCGATTTGTTCGTCCACGGCTGTCTGACGGGGTTCTGGCTCACGTCCACAAAGACGTCCCTCAGCAGCTGCCTCATGCGGCCGTGCTGCTTCTGTGGAGGCGGCCCCACATGGGCGATGGCGGCCAACTCCACAACTTCAAGTGGTCGAGGAAGCATGTGCAAGCCTTGGAAATGTCGCTGCTTCCTTGTCCACGGCTTGTAATCCATGGCACAGCCCATGCGATTCCGAAGGTCCACGGCCTGCGACTTCCACGCAGGGACACGTGCCATTCTCGGAGAGGACTTTGGTGACGCCTGCGCACAGGCATGGGTGTGGCGGCCGAGACCCGGAATGGCTAGAAAATGACAGGGGTCTGGGGCAGGGACAAGAAAAGGACTGGAAAATGACTGGAAAATGACAGGGGTCTGGGGCAGGGACAAGAAAAGGACTGGAAAATGACTGGAAAATGACTGGAAAATGACTCCAAAATGACTCCAAAATGACTGGAAAATGACTGGAAAATGACTGATGCCTCGAGGAATCCTGCCTTTTCCTGCGAACCATACCCCCCCCCCCGTCCCCCCCTCCGCCCTGCCCTACCCCCCTCCCCTCCCCAGCCCCCCCTCCCCCCCCTCCCCCCAACCCCTCGCCCTTGCCCGTCCCCTCCCCCCTCCCCAACCCCTCGCCCTTGCCCGTCCCCTCCCCCCTCCCTTCCCTCCCCCCCAACCCCAGGCGAGCCGGCCCCAACCCGGCCTGATCTGGCCCAGACCCCTCTCCTGGGCTCGAAATCCAGACTTTGGGCTAGAAGTGGCTGGTTTTCGGCCCCTCAACCAAAAGGTCAACAGGAACCGAAAGCACTAACCTCCTGAAACCCTGCCTCCTCCTTCCAGAAAGTTGTCACGTAAGATACTAACGCATGTGTTGTTTGGAAATGCCACATGCGCAATGATCTGAGTGTTCTCGTTCCTGAATTGGACTAATGCCAAAAAAGCAAGTGTCCCTGCCCGACACTGCGAACATGTCCAGCTCACTCCATCTTCCCAACATAGCCCCTCACTGAATCTATGGATTCGTTTGCCACATGTACAACAATGCACAGTCAATGCACTGTCGAGGAATGCAACAGGGAAACTGTGCAGCTTCGTGCGGTCCTGTCTGGTCCGGGGACGCTTGGAACTGAGCCACAGCTCCAGCTGCTGCTTGAAACGCGTGCTTCCAGCAGGTAGCAAGAGGCTCGTCAGGGAAAGTGGGCGCACGCACTCCTGCAGCCTCTGCTGCACCACCTGCTTGCAGAAGGATTTGGCAGGGTCTGGCTTCAGGGGCCTGTGCTAAGACGGGCGTACAGTACGTGCAAGTCGGGCTTTAGGATCATACGATGGGATAGTTAGTTTCTACTGGGTGCTGCTGCTAAGGAATGATAACGCAGGCAACAGCTTGACAGGGAGCAAGCTCAGAGTGGCAGACACTGCCTCGACATTCTGCTTGAAGGTCTTGACGCATTCTCTGCTGAAGAGGTCTTTTCGAAAGAAGACCATGTAGATCCTGCGGAGGGGAGGGTTTGTTTCTGCTGGTGCATGTGGCTCTTTACAAAGCCTCGAGCCTACATGGTCCATATACACCTACCTCGGCCCATAGCTAACGTGAACTTCCAGCAAAGCCAGAAGCCTCCCATGAGTGCCAATGCAACGTTAATCATTAATCTTTTGCAAGTGAAATCCCTGTCACAACCCTCGAACGTGCTCCAGGGTGAGCAGCTCTGAGAGGGCTCTGAAGGATATGCAGCAGACTCACCGACCTGGGCTAATACGTAACCTGGAGACAGAGAGACGCAGAGTTAGAGCACCGGCACCGTATTTTCAAAAGTGAACAGTAACGTTGCCTTGCAACATAGAAAGGCCGAGGCTGCTGGGACAACTGAGCCCTTCAGCCTTGAGTTCACTCTGTTTTTTTCCTTCATCGGAACACAGCTGGCTCTTCGTCCTCGCCTTCGCGGCGCTCCCTCTCGCAATTGCTTGCGAACTCTTTTCCACCAGACTCAGCATATAGCTGATCCCTCGCTGCGCACCGCTCTTCTGCTGTCGGAAAGCAATGGTGCACATGCTCATTCTGGTCGGCGTACTGAGCGTGCTTCTGCAACCAGGCACACAGTGCGCCTAGACAACGCCCTTGTCCTCGCTGCGCAGGTGTCCTTGCAGCGGCCCTCGCCTTGACAGTGCGTGAACGGCGGCAGTCCAGGTGGTGGCTGCAGAATGCGGTCACATACGCGTGCTGCGGGTAATACCGCAGAGTGCCATGTTGCGTTTCAAACACAACAGTGCTCGTCGTGTCACGCGGTGCAGGGTGACCACGCGTGGGAACGTCCTCGGAGCCAGCCGCAGGCGCGTTGGCATGCTGCCCCACTTCCTGCTCCGGCTCCTCCTGCGCTTCATCCTCCTCAACGGAAGAGCAATGATTAGGAGATCCTGCTGCGGCATCGGACACGTCCCCTGCAGCTGGAATGTCATCTTCGTCCTCAGCCAAAAGCTCAGGCTGACTCTCCGTGTCACGGTCCAAATAGGGATCCGGGGCATCTGCTGCTGCAGACGCTTCCTTTGCCGATGGTCGCTTGGTCAGCATGTTGCCCAACAGCTGCTCCAACGTAGGTGCTGCCCCATCTCCTGCAGCAGGGTCAGTGCCTGAAGACGCGGATGCATGCTGGCCCCGGCGCCTCTTCGATGCTGGTTGCACAGGCTCCGGGTCTGTGTCATTTCTCCCCCAGATTTGGAAAGGTTGCACATCTTCGGACCAAATCACTGGAACAGGAGTCATGTCTTCCACGGTCCAGTGCTGCTCGCTCAAGGAAATGAAGCAGACATGAATGATCCAGTGTTTCCGCAGGTCCAGATGGTGAGCAACAAACTCTGCATCCGTACGCAAACCCTGAGAGAAGGCAACCGCATCGTCGGCGCCCCGAGCGGGCGGCTCGGCAGGCACGAGCTGCAAGACCTCCTGCCGCCCTCCCTGCCACGGCTGCATCAGCAGCCCGGCAACATGCATGCTGGTGAGGTTGACATGGCCCAGATGCCAGAATAGGTCGGAAGCCTGCACATCTGACGGTCTCCGGTAGCTCTCATCTGCTGCATCGGCATCAATGCATTGCCAATGCAGCACCACCATGCGCTCCTTGAGTTTCTCACGCACCTTGGAGGCCACTCGCTTCCCAGCTACCAAACCTGGCAGGAAGTTGAACGTCGCTCGCAAGTACTCTTTCATGCGCGTGCATAGTGTCCCAATGGAGGCATTCTCACCGCAGACGCACACGCCAAGCTGCTGGCAACGCTGCACCACAAATTGCCTGGCCCTAGCTGGCTGGATGGCTTTCTGCTGATCATGATGGTAGACTTTGCAACGGTCTTTCAGAGACTGCATCAGGTAGGATGTTACCTTGAAGGCCCGCTTGGTGTGCTCGTTCTGTCTGCCAACGACTGCCTGCCACGCCACGGTCTACTCGATTCACAGGAGTTGAGTAGTAATAATAACGTATTTGAACTACAACAAGCATTGTCTGAACACTAACTCATGCCTATACTCACAGACAGAAGCGTGGAAACTGCGGAGTAGCCCACGCGACGATATCCGGAGTCAATCGAATCTAAGGAAACGTAATGCCATGCGGAACTGGCTCTCTTTGTGACTATATAGCATATAGTGCGTTTATGTGTAGACGACTCGTATGCTTTCTTTGCCACCTGAAATATGAGGCAGGGTCCGTGCCAGGACAAGGACCCCAGAATGGCCCGCGAATCGGTCTGGCTCTTAACCAGGATCTGATGGCTGTAAGTCACACAATGTCTTCCACAAAACAAAACTCTGCAGTAGTTACTACAGTCCTACTACGCTAGTAACCGCTAGTACAGTTCCGAAGTACATGGCTGCAAGCGAACCCTCTGCCCGACGTAAAGCTGTTAAAGGTATTTCTCAGATACAATAGCACACACAAAACTCACGGGGCCTGAACCATTGCAGCTATGGGCGGTTGCCAATGAAGCCCTAGCAGACCCGGCGCTCGAACTGCTTGCCTCTGGACAAAGCTGGGTGCAACAGGCACAGACACAGCGAAGTCTTGCATCAAAGCCGTGTCCTTGCCGGTGCCCTCTGCAAAGTCCTTGAGCTCAGCAAGCCCCTGCTTGGACAAAGCCTGGTCTGCGTCACCCGCATGGCGGACCACCATCTGCTGCTTGAAGCGGTTGTACTTCTCCAGGAACGGCACTCCACCATACAAGGCAATTCGTTCTTGGTCGTCTAGAGCAACCATGGCGCCGGATGCGGTAAGAGAGCCCGGAGGGGGCGGCAGCCGCCTCTGGTGTGTACGCTGCGCTCTCTCGCCAAAGCCAGGCAAGTTCTGCCGACAAGCTTCGGTTGCTGCCTCTCCAGCGCGCTTGTACCGTAGCAGTTCCTCGCTTGGCAGGCTCAAGAGCCTTTCGTAAACAGCAACAACAACAACAGCAACAACAACAAGGACAACAAGGCTTACATGAGATGCGGTCCTCGGTGGAGCAAACGAGGTGGCAGCATCGGCTACGCTTACGGCTTGGGTCTGGAGTGTAGAGCCTGAAAACTCACTAGGTGACTTCGCAAGGGCACTGCTGCAACATCCGTGGTTTTGGTAACACAGGGGGCTACAAACCGATACAATGCTTTTCCTACATGATGCGAAACTGGAGTTGGTCGCGCAACAGTGTGACACAGGAACAAGTAACAAGTTCCAAGCTAGGAACTAGGATTCATATCAATCTAGGACCTAGGAACAAGCCATCACATGAGTCTTGTGTACGGCAGGCCAGCGAAAACAAACACCTGGAACAGAAGGAGCCGAGCTGCAGCATCTGTCAGGGAATGGTATTCCCGCGCCAGGACCGCAGCGCCCAGTGCAAAGACGGATTTGCCCAGCCTGGTGCATCGGTCATGCACGAACGCTCTCCACGCACCACCACCTCGCCGCTTTGGCGCCTGGTCCTGCGCCTGCTGTTGCTCTTGTGGCTGCCCTTGTGGCTGCTGCGACAACTTTTCCTGGCACTGAGCATGGTTGGACCAGGAGAAAAGATGTTTTGCAGATATGGTTTCCAGGGTGGGCAGCCATCCGCGAGATCGCAGCAGCGTATGCTCGCGGTTTTTGGCATGAACACATTCCACCGCGGCAATATTGCAAGGCAGAAAGGTAGCAAGCCCTTCTAGAAGGCACTGTGCCTCGGGCCCTGCAAGTGTGGGCGCATCTGGATAGCGCTCCAGGACGGCAGCCGAGAGCTCATCACGCATGCAGACTGGCCATCGGCTGAGAAGCTCCAGATTCTCGGGGACACGTTCCAACGCTCTAAAGATTTGGAATTGTAAGGATCGATGCGTCAATCTGAGTAAGGCGTGCAGAGAAGACATGCCGGAAGCCAGCACGCGAAATCTCAGGCAGCGGAGAGCTGCAGAACAATCCTGGGGCGCCACAGACTCCAAATCGCCATGGAGTCCTGCGTGCATGTCAGTCAAACAAGCGTCTAGAGCATCGCCGCGAGCCGCCTCCAATATGGGATAAGACCGCATCTCGCCAGACACTGCTGCGGCGTGCTGTTGCTGCTTGTCCCATTGGCGGCCACTGCATTTCAGGATGTTGGCAAGGTAAGCGAGCATTGGACGGATGCATCGACTCAGCACAGCAAGTCGTCCGGCTGGCCGGCTGCACACCCAGTTGGAAACCAGCTTCCTTTTCTGCCTCTTGAACTGCTGCCACGCCTCTTCGGAGTTTGACTCCGGCCGCTCCGCATCCGCAGCTGCGCCTTCTGGAACGCCTGCCTCCTTTCCGCAGCGCAAGACACAACATAAAGACATAAAGCTTGCGACTTATGGTTCAGCAGACAATTTGTGGAGCGAGCCTAAGGCCTCCACGCCTAGGTCATGGTACTAGGCCGTGCGATTATCCTTCAAGGGTCTGGTCAATCTAGTTACCTAGCGTCTGGGGTTGACTCCGGACAAGAAGACAGTCCTGGATGTCTGGGTCGGCAGAAGAAGCGGGCGCCGCTGCTTCTCTTGCATCTGCTCGAAGCAAAGCCAACCAGGGATCAGCAGCAGCTTGGTTGCCTTGCTCCGGGTTCTGGGCAGGTGGCGGCGAAGGAGCCTCTGCAGGATTGCCGGTGTAGCGCAAGTAGATCTTGCGCAGGAGTCCGTGGCAGGACGCCAACAAGCCCGCGTAGTCTACAGACTCGTCCGACCTTGTCCAGCTCTTCCGGGAGTAGAGTGGACACACTGTCGGCATCAGAGCCCAGGAAAGAAACATGCTGCAGGCTTGCCGGGTTTCGCCTTCGTCTACGCAGCATCCATTGCAGTTGTGCACAAGGCCGGCGCTGTCATTCCTCAGTATGCTCCACACGACAGCCATGTTGTAGCTAAAGCATTATACTATATGACTTCACGACAATATACTTGCTAGTGCGATGCAGTCTGCTTTGCCTTAAACAGCACACAGAAGAGTACAAAGACACACTAGTCACTAACAACTTGCTGCTAGCTGATATCAGCAAGGCCTCCAATCGTCATTCAAGAAATGCTGTAGTATGTATTGCCGCTTCAAGTTGCGCCTCTGCATGGTGAGCGAGACGCCCTTGACTCGCACAAAAGTATCAAGGACACTTTTGCGGTGCCGGGCGATTGCACCCTGTGGCGCTGCACGGTAACGAATCTGCAGATCCGTCCGGAATATGTCGATCAGTATCGCACGCATTGTGCGAAGGGCACCAGCTTCGGCCGACACAAGGCCCAAATTCAGCACTCCACTCATGTCGGGATCTGCCAAGCGAAGACACGCTTTCATTGCATTCGCAGTCTTGTGAGTGTCACACGCAAAACTGCCCCGAACGAAATGCTCCATGTATTCAGGCTCTTGCAAACCCACTTCAGCGCGATTGTTAGATCCCGCACGGTCTGCTGTAGATAGTCTGATCCGCAAACCAAATGGTGCCCATAATCTTTGAACTTCCGGCACGATCTGAATATGGTCCCAAAGAACCGCACGCATGTTCTCGCCCGTTGTGCGATCCACTGCACATAGTCCGGCTGGCACATCGGTGCTAACCCAAGCGAACTTGCCACGGGAATCCTGCATCAGGCAGGCCATTCGGTGCTCCACTTGGACCACCTTTGCATGGGTGGCCGCTTGCACGAGGTCCTTCATGCTGCGGTCTATGCCCACATCGCGCAGCCAAGCTTCCGTGTATGACTCTTGGGAGGAACCTCGAGGGCGTTGCAGCAGCAGCTGGCCCTCGTTGGTTGAAGAGATACGCACTGCGTGCGGGGTTTCGTCGTAACGAAAGGCATGAACAAAAGCCACGGCCCTCTCCTTGCATCCACCAGCACTGCATAGCGTCTGGATCCTCGAGAACAGGTGGCCACACAACCATCCGCCCAACTGTTGCACTGCGGAGCCTGCCTGAAGCAGCAAACCGCGCACCATGTGAGCACTTGTCGGTCTTCCAGAAGAAAGCGCAGCAACGGACTGCGCAGAACAGGTCAAGGCCTTTTGACTCAAACAGCTATCCAGGACAGCGTCTTCTGCCGACGCCTCGCCTTTCGCAACTGCACCTGGCCGCTTCGCTTTCACGTCCTTGCACCGCAGCCATGCTGCCAGCAAAGACCTCTGCGTGACACTGCCCACTTTGGCCAAATGCTCGTCGTCTCCCAAATTCATGCCCGGCATAGTGGCCATTCGCTTTGCGTCTGTGGCGGTGGCGACGGTTGCTGACTGTTTGCAGTCTTGGCGGCGGAATGACCGCGCATACTCAATCGTGCCCGGAGCAGGTGCCGCAGGCTGCTGATTAGCTGCGACCTGTGCCGCAGCTGCCTCATGCACAGCGATGCTTCGACGGAGCAAACCGCTGCCTGTTGTTCCTTTCGGTCTCCCCCGTCCTCTAGACTGGGGAGCTGCGGCTGCATCTGGTGCAACTTCAGCTCGTTGTTGCCGCACGGTGTCTTGCAACAGAGCTGTCCAGTCGACAGCATCCCCATCATCAGCCATTCGTGGAACTGCTATGACATTTCTATAAATTATCTGAAAAAGTCTTCTAATCTTCGAGTCTTACAGGCACTCGTCACTAGCCAGTCACTAGTTACTAGTCAATACTCACTACTCACTACTCAATCAATATGCTGCATATTGGTGCACTAAGCCACTAAGCCTTAATGATGGTGGTGCTGGTGGTGCCGTCAGAAGTTTTGTCATTGTGCAGCTTTGGGCCTTGAGTTCCAGGCCAGGGCGTCTGGCTATAGAAGACATGTGAAGCACAGAGCAGATCGGCAGTCAGACAAAATATCCCAGCGCGATGCCCCCCTCCCCCCCCTCTCCCCCCCCCCTCCCCCCCTCCCCCCCCTCCTCCGCCCCGCCCCCGACCCCCCATTCCCTCCCATCCCCTCCCCCTCCCCTCCCCTCCTCCCCTCCCCTTCCCCTCCCTCCCTCCTTTCTCCCCCTCCCCCCCTCCCCCCCCCCCCCCCCCCCCCCCCCCCTCCCCCCTCGCGGTTTCAAACCGGCCCCTCAACCCCCCACCCACCCCCCACCCACCCCCCCCACCCACCGACCACCCACCACCCACCACCACCACCCAACACCCACCACCCGGCACCACCCACCACCCACCACTGCCACTGCCACCACCACCACCACCACCACCACCACCACCACCACCACCACCACCAGCAGCAGCAGCAGCAGCAGCAGCAGCAGCAGCAGCAGCAGCAGCAGCAGCAGCAGCAGCAGCAGCAGCAGCAGCAACAACAACAACAACAACAACAACAACAACAACAACAACAACAACAACAACAACAACAACAACAACAACCTGAACAAGCAGCAGCGACGACAACAACAACAACAACGACGACGACGGTAGCACTCAGTCACTTAGACTTAGACCAGCACTAGCACCAGAAGCAGCAGCAGAAGAAGGAAACTAAAACTACCAACAATGACTTCGACCGCAGCAGTAACAGCAAACGCAACTGCAACCACAACAACATGTTGCTAACGTTGCAAATGAAATCCTTGTCAGATGCCCGAAACAGCTGCCTTCCTAAGCACTCATAATCTGTTGACGGGCACAGGTTGGTGCGACGACAAGTGCACGATTGCCTGGGCTGGGCTTTCTGTCCATATGTCCCAAAGATCATCAACAACCCTGCACCCCAGTCCTTGGACGTGCGATTTGCAGCCATGCGCTGCTGCAGAGTGAAAAACGCACCATCCAGTAGCCACCGTCCGGAAATCGCTGCGCCTGCAGCAACTCCAGGAACCTGCGGACCCATTGGGATTCGAGGAGAAGAGAGAGATGGATTTGCAGCACTACAAAACAACATGAGAACTGAGAACCTTGGTCTTCGACGAAAATTCCACTGGTCTACTGCTGCTAGATTAACTGCTGGAAAATGCCTGCAAGCATTTTGTCCCATCGCTGAGCCTATGTCCTATGTGCAAAGCGGACGAGCTGATCTACAACCTGTCCGACTTACCCCAAGCAGTCTACAGAGTCTACTGTTCTGGCCTGTCCAGCGGAGTCGACGGATCGTGCTCTGAGATGGGCTTCACAAAGCCCTCTACTTGTTCTAGGATGCTGACGTGAGGTCTGAAAGCCAGGAGTGCACGAACAATGTACTGCATAGTCACCTGTGTGAGGCCATGAGAGTCCACGGAGCCTTCCTGGAACCTCTTCGGTCTCACGACGCTGAAAGGATCGCACGGACTGCCGGCCATGAGAAGGCGCACTGCCTTGCCTGCGGGAATGTTCGGCGCAGCTGCGAGCTGGCTCTGCAGGCTGTCGTGCATGCAGTGCACAGCTGAACCCTGGTTGGCTGACACAAACTCCCGGAAAGATGCTTCTGTCTCTGAAGCAGAGAAAATCTCATACGGGATCTGCAAAGCCTGGCGGACTGGCAGGCATGCACGACGACATTTGGACTGACACATACTACACTACACTACTACACTTCTATGCTGCTAGACTGCCCGCACCACACATACATTGGAATCATTGGACGCCGTCTATCTTGCTTGTCTACAGTTTCGAGACTGTGAACAAAAACACAAGCCTTGCTGCACATAACATACAGATTTCAGCACTGCGCCTTCATGACCTCACCTTCAGCGCAGCATCCAGTGCAACAGCTCACAACACCCACTGTGTCCAGCATGGGCAAGCCTACACCAGCCGACGCAAGAGCTAAAAGCAAATCTTCGCTCCACCAGTACTCTGAGTACTGCGTACTTGGAATTGAATCTGACTCATCCTCGGTGGGCTCGCGGTCAAGAGCCGCCACCTCTTCACGCTCGCGCTGCAACTGCAGCTCGTGCTGGAAAGCTGCATCCCACGGATCCAGCATGGCGGTACAGCTGTATCTGATAGGACGGACAACAACTATGAATCAACTAGTCAATGCTGCAATCTGGCATTATAAGCTCAGCTGGCCAAGCAATGAGATAAAGCAAGGGAATGCACTGCTCTTTCTGCTGTAATCCTTGACAATACTACTCGTGCCGGCAGCAAAGAGAAATTTCCAACAGATTGCATCAATTGCAGATGTGTGCGAACAATTAGGGAATGGTCGTCGAAACTACACTAAATACTGCTAACACTAACACCAGATACAAGGCCGACCAGCTACTCAGTGCAGAGAAGCATTGAAGACGAAAGAGGAAATGAACATCGCAGGAAGCACAGCATCCAGAATAAAGTGATGGAACACACCGAGGCTGAAAAGACGATGCCAGCATAGATCTACATAAAAACAAATAGAAGACAATCCAAGACTACCAAGAATGCAAAAAAATGACCACGTGAACGACAGCCACATTCAGAATGACAAAAAAATGACAACGTGAACGACAGCCAAAATCAGAATGACAAAAAAATGACAAAACCAATGACAAGAAAACGACAGAGGCAAATGACAAAAAAATGACAAGAAAATGACAAAAATAATTCTGGACCCCGACCCAAGCTCTGCTGCAGAAATTCTTACAATCCTAGCGAGACTACAAGTACAGCCTGCACCGTGGCATGTTAACGATTTTAGTTCCTTTCATGGTTCGAATTCGATCGCAAAGGCTATGAATAAGGTAAAGTCCAAGCCAGTGCAGTTCCCAGCATGCCCGAAAGCGAAAGATGCATCAAGACCACGTGCCTTGTAACCCTAAAAACGCAGGCCCGTATTATGTTGTTTTCTGTAATTGAAAAGGTAGATGGAGTTATAAGAAGCAACTTAACAGCACAGAGGGTAGATAATAACTATCCTCATTATAAAGATAATTGTACTGCTATGTGTAATTTATGCAATTGTAGGTTTCATTAATTATAATATAACCTTTCTTATTATGAGCAGTGATAATAAAGATGATACTATAAGTAGTATATATTATGACAGAAGTGGATATGGTTCGGTTCAAACGAATTATCAAGATGCAAAAAAGAAAGATAAATCAATTACTATGCAGGACGTCAGAAAATGGTTTGAGAAGCATGTTGAAAGGAAGAAACAATTATCAGGCTATAATTCATTCGTAGCTCCTTATGCTAAATATGAATATGAGATTGATTTGTTTTTCATTATTAAGAATGACCTACCTAATCAGAAATTTAGAATTGGTTTAATAATGATAGATGTATTTAGTAAGTTTATGGCCGTAGTGCCTATTAAGAGTAAAGAACCCCCTGATGTTTTAGCTGGAATTATGGAAGGGATACAGAAAATGGGTGGAAAACCGCAGAGGTTTTATTCAGACGAAGAAGGTAGTTTAAACAGTGGAGTTGTTAAAGAATACTTAGACAAGGAGAATATAGAAATACATTTAACCAGGGGACATCCTAATTTTGCGGAGAGAGGTATTAGGACATTTAAAGATAAACTATTTAAACGAGTGGAGGCGGATGAGAAAAAAGGAAAAGAGAATATACAATGGACCGACAACATTTTTGAAATTGTACTTACATATAATAATAAAGATAAGCATTCTACGATAGGAATGACGCCGAAGGAGGGAACAATGAAAAAGAATGAATTAGAAGTGAAATCGAACATTGCACTGCAGTCAGTATCTAAAAGGAAGTATCCAGAATTAGAAATTTCAAATAAAGTCAAAATATACAGGAAGAAAGATAAATTGGATAAGGAGAGGGTGAGTGTATGGTTGCCTACAGTCCATACCATAAAAGATATAAAGAGTAGTATGGGACAAAAGTTTTAATACTTAGAAGGTTCAAACAGACCTTATTTAAGACATGAGCTGTTGAAAGTTTAAAACATTAAAAAGATGTTTTGGAAAACTACTTAAAGAACTATTACCTATATATAGTATATATATATATGACATTGTGTAAATTGTATGAGAAAGTTGATGACTGTATTATCTGTGAAGAGAGAGCAGAACAGTTAAACAAATCCCTAACAATGATGCCAGAACATATAACTGAAAACATAATGATGTTTGCTGGTTGCAAAAGGTGCGAGAAAGAACTTGAAATAATGGAATTGTCAGATGAGATTATAAAGTTGAAAAAGCAGAGGGGGACAAGAGATTTAAGAATGAAGTTAGAAAGGAAAGGACATAGATTGTGTGATGACATGGAGAAGATTATGGATGAATACTATATGTCTAAGTAATTAGGTTTTATAATAATTGTTATTATTATAAAACTTAATAAAACTCTACAAGGGTGTATGCCCCGTTTTACTGGGATAAGATATTACATAATTTTATGTAATATGTTGTCGGGATTGGTTGAGGTTGCGGGTTGAGGTTATAGAGTAGGATAACGGATAAGGTTATGGAGCAGGAGAACGGATAAGGTTATGGGTATAGGGTCGTATGTAGGTGGTTGATTGGGTTTGTGTGGTGGGGTTTGGGCTGGGGTTGGTGAGTTGGTCGGGCGCGGGTGGTATCTTAAAACGGGGCGTACCTAGGTCTAGCTCGGGGGACTTAGTAACTGGTCATTTTACGGAGTTATAAGTACCATGACCCCAATTAGGGTCCCTTTTAGGGTACTTATAAGTCTACTTACTACCTACTTACTAAGTCCCTAGAACTCGAAACCCCATAGATCCCTTTAAGGAACCCTAAAGATCCCTTTCAGGAGCCCTTTAAGAACCCTTATTAAGTCCCCCGACCCTCCAAGTCAGGCATCGCAGGTTTCAGGTGCAGGGTTCAGGGTGATCCTTTGGGAGTTTCCGAAAATTCGGGGTACCTTTAGAGGGATCTACAAGGGCTCCTTATATCTATAAGGGTTCTACAAAGGGTTTAGGGTTTAGAGTTTCCGAAAATTAGGGGGTGTACCTTATTTTGGCGTCCTTATAATAAGGATCCTACTAAATAGGGTAAGAGATAAGGGTCGCCTATTTTCGGAAACTCCCATACAGGTCTTAAGGTCTGGTGACTCGGGGTTCTGGATTAGGATCCAAGAGTGGTTTGCAAGGGTTAGGCACGGGCCTCCTTTTTCTTTGGCTTTGTATGAGTGACAGGGGACTCAATAATTAGGAAAATATGATACCTGGTATTCGTATTGAACCTCAGGGAGGAGTGTGAATGCAGCTACTGTTTGGGCTTGGCGTGGCCCAGCCCCAGCCGGGCTAGAGCCCAGCCCAGCCTAGCCCAGCCCGGTACACCAATTCAGAACCAAGTTCGTAGAAAAGAAATGGTCAGCAGTTGCGGTCAAGATTTATTTGCATTCAAACCCTTCGCAGTCCCTATAAACCTTAAACCCTAAACCTTGAGGGTTCGGTGGCGGAGGCTTTGGACAGGCTGCTGTTGTGGAGGTGCAGAAGGCGCAGCGAGGGATGTAGGGGTCAGCCATAACCCTACACCCACAAGCCTGAATGCCCAAGCCCCCTTAAAACTAAGCACCAAGAAACTAAACCCCAATCCCTACACCCCAAAACCCTGACATAATAGGGCTCCGGGTTTCACAGGTTAAATCCAGCTTGTCTTGTAGACTTTCGGATGAGCCCAGAGACTTCCCCGTCTCGGGTTTAAGGTTGTTGATGAGCTGTGAGCGTGGCCTTAGACTTTAAGATGTAGGCCTTGAGCCCTATATACAACGCGAAAGCGCAAAGCTCTCAAGCCTCAAGCCCTGTACCCAAACCCTCAGGGCCCTGAACTTGCATCTCGACCGAGACTTGCGGCAGGGTAGTTCTTACAGCCGCGCGCCAACAACAACAGGCCCCGGAGTCCCAAACCCTAAACCCCAAACCCAAAGGTCCTCAACAAAAAACCCGAACCCCTAAACAAGAAAACCCTAAACCCTAAACCCCAAACCCCAGACCAAACCCTAAACCCATCCTAAATACTAAAGCCTAAGGCCCAAACCCCCAACCGTATCCCTCCCATCTTGGAATCCCAAGGGTGAACATGCCCTTGCAGGGTTCCACAGCTTTTGCTGCAAGGGTGCAGGATAGGTGTCTGTGTACTTAGAACCGGGTTTTTTAGTTATGCCAGTATACACTGCTATGTTGGGGCCCCGAAACTAGGCTCATCGCGCAGCATCTTACCCGAAGCCGGTGCACAGATCCCAACCGCCGGCCCCCAGAAACATGCAAAACCGTCCAAGAACTCGGCCGAAGTCCACAAACTCCTACAAAGTTCATACAGAACATGCAAGACATTCGAGAGATCGCATGGAACAGCTCACAAGTTCCAGCTGAAGCTTTTAAAGTCGTCATCCCAGGAAGCTCATGTAACATCCAGAGCAATGCTCCTGGCGAACTCGAAAGGCCCTTGTAATTAAAGGTCCTACCTGAACCCTGAACTCCAAACAAACCCTAAACCCTAACCCCCAAACCCCAAACCCTAAACCCGGCTAAACCCTAAGCCCTAAAGCCTAAACCCGGATAAACCCTAAGCCCTAAACCGGGCCCTAAACCCTAAGCCCCATCTATAAGCCTTATCCCAAGCGGCAGGCGCGATCACCAAAGGCGAAGCCCAGCTCTGGGACGATTCCGGCTTGGGCCCTCAGAGCAAAAACGAGGAAGCAACAAATCCTATAAAGGGAACTCCAGAAAGTTGGAATATGGTTTCAGGGTAGGATACCTTATAATTTACCATAAAGGGTTTAGGATAACCACATTCCAACTTTCTGGCTTTTACCTTAAGGGTTGAGGGTTCGGGGTTCCTTGAAGGGTTTAGGGTTTAGGGTTCCTTTAAGTAACTCCTAAACCCAGAGACTCCAATATCCCTTAATTAAGGAGTATTCCTTAAAGCCTTAAACTATAATAGGATCCCCAATACGATTTAGAGGAATATTCCTTAATTAAGGGATATTGGAGCCTCAAGGAAACCCTAAACCCTAAATCCGCAAAGTTTGACTGATAGGCAAGGGGTGTGACTAAGACTG